GGACAGGGCTGCGGGAGCCCCCGGGTGACCCACGGGCGGCGTGGGTGCCGCTGGGGTGGCCCCCGCCAGCGAGGACCCCCCCGTGCTGCCTGGGCGGCGAACCAGGGTGTCAGGGCGGGGGGACGTGAGCTGCCACGGCTTCAGGCGGCGGGCCACGGTGGGCCAGCAGGGCTGGCCGGGGCGCAGCCGGCCGCCCCGGGCAGGTAAAGGTGTGCAGAAAGGGGGCCAGCTGCTGCTGAGCATCTCCCCGAGGCCTTGCCCGCAGCGGGACGTGCCCGCTCTGCCCGCCGGTGGGAGCCCACCCTGGGCTGGGAGCTGGCGGCGGGGCTGGCTGTCCCCTGTGCACGCTGGCGCGTGGCCGCTGAGCCCCGCTGCCCTGTCCTGCGGCGGGTAGAGTTCCCAGTCGCTCCGAAATGGAACTGTTGAGTTGTTTGGAAAGCAAACAGAAAGGCTGGAGAAATGGCTGTTACATGACGATGGCAAGAGCCGCTCCGTGGTCAGGTGAGTCTGCGGGTTCAGTGCTTTTACCTCCGAAATGAAAGTGAGCTCTTGATAAAACACGGGAGCACTTCGGTCCTCCCGGAACCGCTCCCTCTGCTCTAAGGATGGGGTGTGGGAAAGGCGGGCTGGCCTCAGCTCAAACCCGCAGACAGCTCAGGTGACCCTGAGCCTTGCGCCGGGGCGGTCTAGGATTGATGGCGAAACAGGGACCTGCCTGCGAGCGGGGGAATTTACACCCAGGTGAGACCCGTGATGGAGGTGGCTGCCCACTGGCCCAGCCCGTGGCCCCGGCTTCAGGCCCTGCAGCCGTCCCCGGGCTGGGGCACGGCCACAGTTAGCCATTGGGACGTGCCGCAGAGAGGTGGCCACGAAGCCAGAGCTGCTCTGAGTCCCCAGGGCTGCCCTCCCTGCATGTCCCCAGCTAGTGCTGCTCTCCCTCGGTGACCGCTGTGAACCAAAGCCCTGCCAGGCCAAGCTTTGATCCTTGAGGGGCTTCCAACTGTCTGTGATATTTCAGTAATACCGTCGGTTCAGGATTTGGCCCTTAAGCCTGGACTTTCTGGGCTGGGTCTTGCAGAGCGGGAGTCATCTCAGGACCCCCCCACCCGGGGAAGGGGGAGAGCTGGTAGGAAGAGGCGGCTCACCCGCAGCTCGCTTCTCCAGCGCTCTCACACAATGAAGGGCAGGGTTTTTTTTTCCTTTAAAAAAGGACCTTGTCCCGCTTAACATCCTGCCTGCCAGGAACGCCGCTGTCTCCTCCACCGAATCCTCTTGCCTCCCCCAGCTTCATGCAGACCAGTTTCCTGCAGGGAGCCCCAGCGGACACCGGGGATGCGGGAGAAGGCGGCTATTCACAGGTACCACCTAATTCAAAGGGAAAGA